GGTCCGGTCGGGTCCAGGTCCGGGGTGTGAGATTCGAACTCGGGTTGCCACACTCATGTAAAGCATTCCAAACCACTGAGACAAAGCAAATAATTGTGAAATTACCTGCAAGAAATATATATAACATAAACAAACAGTATAAAATGATTATAATAAATAATGTTAAATAGATTGTTAATTATCATATTCATAATTATTAAATAATCTTAATTAAATTATTAACAAATATAATATAATATAATAATTGAAAGGACATGAGATTAATCCATTTAAATCATACGATTTGATTCTAATATTTGAATAAAATGTAAATGTAAAAAAAGGATTAAATCATATGATCTACAATTTAATTCTTACGTTTTTTACAAATTAAACCAATTATTAAAAGAGAAATTACATCATAATATTTTTGATTATACTAGTCATATATAATGTTATTTTGTAAAGTAAGAATATTAATTGAAATGAGATATAATCTATTTTTGTTAAAATAAACATCATTTATATTTTTAAATAATCATCTTATGATAAAATACTCAATAATATTAATAAGTTATTGTCAACAATTGAGGTTAATCGATTTAAATTAATTGAAATGAGTTATAATCTATTTTTTTAAATAAACATATTATTTTATTTTTCATTCGATTTTTTCACGCTATCGATTTTAATAACATAAGTGAATTTGTAAAAAGTCAACGCATTTGTTTATATATTGACTTGATTCAATACTTTATATTTTTCATAGTGGAGATTGAAACCCGGGGCGGGGCGGGGCAGTCAACGGGTCGAGTCCGGGTCAAACCCGGCCCGTGGCCGTGTCTACATTGAAAATCCGGGTGGACCCGACGGGTCCCCGGGTCGGGCCTTCAGGTCCCCCCGCCGGGTAGACCCGTCGGGTCTCGGGTCCGAAAAATGGGGACCCGAAACCGACCCGTACTTGGTCGGGTCCGGGTCCATGGTCAACGGGCCGGGGCCGGGGCGGGGCGGGGCAATCAACGGGTCGGGTCCGGGTCAAACCCGGCCTGTGGCCGTGTCTACCTGCATATAAGTGTTCTAAGTAAATCTAATTCTCGTATAATAACTTGCAAACCATACGAAATTTATTTATATGTTTATATGCTAATCAAGGCAACAATTATTCACGTGAAAAGTGATAAAACGCCAATCGATTTATAGTCAAAATATAGTCATTTAGCTAAAACTATTTTACGATAGGTAAAATTCGAGTATATTCATTTGAGTGAATTGTAAAATAAACCACGCGATAATTATAAAAAGTTCCTAATGATGTATTTTCTCAGTACACGATGACCTAAATGGGGAGGTTTTTACTTTTTAGGGGTAATTTGAAAAAAAAAAAGAAGAAATTTGAATTATAAGGGGAGTTTTTGCTAATAAAAGCAAGATTTTTTTTTTAAAATAAGTGGCATTCTCCCCTGTGCGATGCACAAGATTGCAAAAAGGAAGACAAATTAAATATTAATAATTAATGTATTAAATAAATTCACATCGGTGTATATAAGAGAGAGAGAAAGAGTAAAAAAGATATACTATCCGAATGTATTAAAATTTTGCTAGTGGATTTGCAAATCTGATTTGATATGAAGGTCATTAGAGAAAAAAATTTGAAAAATAGGAGACGAAAAGATAATAATAATTAATATTTTTTTTACAAATATACTATTAGAGTTTCTTAGATTGCTCTAGCGTTTCTTATATTTATATATAAGGTTAGAGTAAACATATATGTGACAAATGAATAAATCCATAATAATTTTGATGGCTTACTACCATGCACTAACATTTGGTGCGATATCTCTTTACTCTAGGTCTATTCTTCCGGTTCGACTCGACTAATTCGATCAGTAATCTTTGTTTGGACATGTATATTTAAAATAAATAATTTTAAATTTATAAAAATAAATTCATTGAGTTTATTATTGTAATAATTAAATAATAGAATAGATTTTTGGGTACGTAGAAAAGGATAAGAAATGCTAGGGCACAAGTTGCCTTTACAAGTTAGCATGTTGGGGAATTTTGTATAGATCGGTTCACATGTGCAGTATGGGGTTCATCACAGGTGCTAAAAGCATAATTTTCATACAGTAAATTAAAAAAAAAAAAATATATATATATATATATATATATATATATATATATATATATATATATATATATATATATATATATATATATATATAGAAATATATATAGAAAACTACAAAAAACAATAAAGCTCGGGTTGCCTCCCAAGAAGCGCTAAGATATAAGTCTTCAGCCAGACTTTTCTTCATAAAAATATTATGTCCAATCCAACGCCTTGTAGATTGCGCATCCATCCGTGAGCTCTTTCACTTCAATTGCAACCGATACAGGCGATAGAATGCAATATGTCAAGATCTACCTCTGCAGAGAAGTCTTTCTTAGTTGAAATCAATCGGAACTATATCGAGATAGGTATCTCTATCACCCGCTCCCTCAAATTGGTACACAAAAACCTCACGTCCGCGTATAACCTCCACTTCAAACATATTCGTCTTCTCCTCAACCTCAATTGATGCCTTCAAAGCCACGTCATGAACAACAATAATATCCTCAATTTGAATATTTGCACTAACCACTTCCAGTTCCTTCTTCTC